AAGGCTCAGCGCCTGTGGCTCAAGTGGCTAAGGCACCAGCCACATACACCTAAGGTGGCGGGTTCGAATCCAGCCCGGGCCACCAAACAACAATGACAGCTGCAACCAAAAAACAGCCGGGCGTGTGGCAGGCGCCTGTAGTCCCAGCTACTTGGGAGACTGAGGCAGAAGATTTGCTTAAGCCCAGGAGTTAGAGGTTGCTGTGAGCTGTGATGCTACAGCACTCTACCCAGGGCGACAGCTTGAGGCTCTGTCTCAAAAAACAAACAAACAAGCAAACAAAACTCTGGGCTCGGAGCCCATAGCGCAGTGATTACGACGCCAGCCACATACATTGAGGATGGCAGGTTCGAACCTGGTCCAGGCCAGCTAAACAACAATAATAACTGTAATAAAAAAGTTGGGTGTTGTGGTGGATGCCTGTAATCTCAGCTACTTGGGAGGCTGAGGGAAGAGAATCGTTTAAGCCCACAAGTTTGAGGTTGCTGTGAGCTGTGATGCCATAGCACTCTTCCAAGGGCGACGTAGTAAAACTCTGTCTCAAAAAAAAGGAAAAAAAACTCTGTGCACCTATATATATGTGACACGCAGTCATGAATTAAAAAGCAACACTTTGTTTGGTCAATGACTGCAATGACAGTAGTCCCATAAGATGAAAAGACTGCATTTTCACTGGGCCTTTTCTATATTTAGCCACATTTAGATACACACTTACCACTGTGTTACAGCTGCCCACTAAGCTCAGTACAGTAAGAGGCTGTACCAGTACCAGTCTCATGTGTAGCCACAGCTGTGCCCTAAAGCCCAGGTTTGAGGTGGGCTGCACCATCCAGGTCTGTGATGTCTGCAGTGACACATGTGCCCAACCACACACACAGAACACACAGCTGTCACTGAGCTGCCCGTGACTGTGTGTCATATCTGAGTTCCCACTTGTCAGCCACATGGATAGTGGAGGCGATATTCGATTTAGACTCAGAGAAGCAGACACTGAGCCTCAGCTTACCCATCGGTTAACTGAGGCTACCACCTCCTTCACAGGGTTGCTAAAGGGGAAAAACACAGCAAACGTTCCGGTAGCTGAACTGCAATCTTTTCCAAGACATCAGTATAACTTCAAAGCAGCACACTCAGGATGCCTCACTCCCTATCCTATTATCCAATTATAAATCCAAGAGATGTAAGCGAGTGACTTATTTAAATATGTGGCCAGCAAAAACAGCATAATTGCTAGTGAGCTCCCTTAAATAGTATATAGGCTTAGTATCAAACTTATCCAAAAGGCTTATGACCAGAAGCTTTTCAATTTTGGATTCTGGAATATTTGGATATACACAATGTGATATCTTGGAGATGGGACCCAGGTTTAAGCACAAGATTCACTTCTGTTTCATATACACGTTACATGCAGAGCCCCAGAGTAATTTCCTACAACACTTCTCATAGCTTTGTACATGAAACAAAGTTTTGCCTGTGTTCTGGCTGTGACCCGTCACATGAGGTTGGCCCAAAGTCTCCTCTTGTGACAGCTCATCAGCACTCAAAGAAGTTTGGATTTTGTTGCCTCTGGCTAGAGTATAGATAAATAGAAAAAGTTTCAGATATTGGACCATTTTGGATTTCAAATTAGAAGCTCTGAAACTATAGCACATAAATATCATCCAAAGTGCCAGACTCAATACAGATGAACTCGCTCAAGTAGCCCAGTGGGAAGTTGAAGCACTTCTGGACTTGAGATACCTCTTAGCTCTGAAAACTACTGAAACCAGAAAGTTTGCCTAACAAATCATTATTTTTCTTATCCCTCAAGAGTGAAGTTGTACTGCTGCTTTTCTTTTTTTTTTCAGACAGAACCTCAAGCTGTCCCCCTGGGTAGAGTGCTGTGACATCACAGCTCACAGCAACCTCTAACTCCTGGGCTCAAGCGAGTCTCCTGCCTCCTCCTCCCAAGTAGCTGGGACCACAGGTGCCCACCACAACGCCCGGCTATTTTCTGGTTGCAGCCATCATTATTGTTTGGCAGCCCAGGCTGGATTCAAACCCGCCACCTTAGGTGTATGTGGCTGGTGCCTTACTCACCTGAGCCACAGGCGCCAAGCCTACTGCTGCTTTTCTAAAAGCTTACATTGAGGGCGTCCCCCTCCTCCTTACCTTGGGGTGGCACTGCAGGATGGAGAAGAGCACATTGTGCATTCTCAGGAAGACGCTGCCACGCTCCGCTGGCTTCACATGCTGCAGAGGGACTGTGAGCAGGACGCTGAAGGCCAAGCTGACGTGGTGGGGGTTGCCGATGGCCTCCTCCCCCTGCCGCAGCAGTGCAGCCAGGACGTCTAGGATAGACTCGACCACAGTGAGGGACATAGACTGCTCCTGACAAGCCTCTCGGTTTTGCAGCTGTAGCAAACAGGGGAAAGCAGAAAGGAGAAATGAAGTTGATGCTCCAAAATAACACAAAACACAGTGACACGAAAAGCACCAAGTGACTGTGACAACTATGTCCCTGCTCCAAAATAAATGGACACAGTCAACAGGCAGGTGGGTGGCATTTGCTCACACCTGTAATCCCTCTCCGGGAAGCCAACACAGGTGGATCACCTGAGCTCAGGAATTCAAGACCAGCCTGAGCAAGAACAAGAGCCTGTCTCTAAAAAAAAAGGAAAGAAAGAAAAAGAAAAACTAGCCAGGCATTGTGGCAATAGCCTGTAGCCTCAGCTACTCAGGAGGCTGAGACAAGAGGATCAATTTAGCCCAAGAGTTTGAGGCTGCTATGAGCTATGATGCCACGGCACTCTACCCTGGGTGAGAGTGAAATTCTATCTCAAAAAAAAATAAAATAAAATAAAACATAGTTCTAGAAAGTAACCAGAACAGGATGAACACAAGGGTACCCGAATCTTAACTACACAACCAAGGAGAGTTTATCTGTGACACTAATGTCCTCAGACATTGAGCCCATTCTGGGACCCCTTCTGGGCTCCATCTCCCACAATGCCTCTTTTGGCCAGGTATTCTGGCTGTGCAGACTCCTGGTTACATTCTAAGAGGATTCTAGGCTACTGTTCCGATCAGAGCAGGCCCGCTATGGTGTCATCAGTATAGGTAACCTCTCCATTTGGACCCACTAAGGTGTTCAGAAAAATGACAAGTCAGCAAAGCTGACAACAAGAGGACGGGACACCAAGTCTGCCAGTCAGACCCTCGGGAGGACGGGACACCAAGTCTGCTGACTAGACCCTTTTGCCCTGGACATGTGCTCACCTAGGTCAATTCTCTCAGGTAGCAAAAGCTAGAATTGAGGCTGAAAATGACAGTAAAACAGACGTTGTTCCCCTGCACCTAGACACAAGAGCACTCAGGATCTCTAAAGAACGATACACGTAGATGGTCCCAGTCTGAACCAGGCTTTTGTTCTAGTGAAATGAAAGCCAAGCAACTCCTGCACACACAATGTAGCATCTCAGTAAGATTACAGTAACATTCTATCCACAACAGGACTGTCTACTCCATGAAGTACTTTTCTTTATGAGTCTTACACAGCCTACGAATAAATGCACACACTAAACTTACCACAGCATGTTGCTGGGGCAGAGAAAGCCCCCTAATTCCTTCCTATCTCCTCTGATTAAACAGGCTTTCACAACAGCCCTTCCTTGCCACCATATTCCTTACTACTGCCTGTCTGATGCCCCCGATGCTCCTAAATGTCTCCTGACACCACACTCTTCCCACAACTTCTACTGCCAACACCAATGTGCTCAGACACCCAACTTGGCACCCTACACACACCCATCTTGGGAAACAGCCTCCTACACTCTCTTACAACCGGAGCAGAGCCCCCATGGCTGGGTTTTGTCTTTAGGTGAAGACGGAGGGGATGGACTGGAGGGCGCCTCCCCTAAGGGTACTCACCGTTAGAGCCGTGACTATCTGGGGACATGCAAGCCACAACAGACTTGCTTTCTCTCCACTGAGTGGGCAGGTCAGTAGCAGCTTGAGCAATGTAACAGCTGACAAAACAGCCTGAGCCAAAAGGGAAAAGAGTTAGCAGCAGACAGCCACTCTCTCATGAGGGGAACTCCACCTGGGGTAGAAGCTTGCTATGGGGATGAAGTGACAGAGGGAAGCCAGAGAGCCCCGTGTCAGGGAGTGTGGACAAGGCTTGGGTAGAATGCGTCCCTTCATGCCAGCAGCAGGCAGAGAACAAGTGAGAACGGGTAGTGCTGGACCTTTCGGCAGCATCTCACTAAGCCATAACAGTGAACAAGGGATGTGTGCTGTGACCTAAGATGCTGGCTGTAACCTCACTGAGCAAGAACTATCTATGCGGCCGGGCATGGTGGCTCATGCCTGTAGTCCTAGCACTCTGGGAGGCAGGCAGATTGCTTGAGCTTAGGAGTTTGAGATCAGCTTGAGGAAGAATGAGACCCCACCTCTACTAAAAATAGAAAAACTGAGACAAGAGGATCTCTTAAGCCCAAGAGTTTGAGGTTGCTGTGAGCTATTCTCTCTAGTCAGGGCAACAGAATGACCTTTGTCTCAAAAACAAGGGGGGGGGGGAGGAGCTCAGCGCCACAGCACAGTGGTTACATACATATACACCAAAGCCGGGGGTTTGAAACTGGCCCGGGCCAGCTAAACAACAATTACAACAAAAAATAGCCGGGAGTTGTGGTGGGCACCTGTAGTCCCAGCTACTTAGGAAGCTGAGGCAGGAGAATTGCTTAAGCCCAGGAGTTTGAGGTTGCTGTGAGCTGTGACGCCACAGCACTCTACCAAGGATGACATAATGAGACACTGTCTCCAAAAAAAAGAACCAACTATGCTTACAGATAAAATAATGGGCCTTACAGCAGTGGTTCTCAACCTTCCTAATGCCCCAAAGTATTTCACTGTTACAAAGGGGTGGTGACCCACAGGTTGAGAACCGCTCCCCTACAGAAAGACAAAAAGTAAGACAAATGGGTCAGGTGCTGTGGTCATGGGCAACAGTTTGAAAGCACAGGACTACGAGGGCGAGGCCTCCCTCTATTGAGGGCCCATCAAGGCATTTCACATGATCAATTTCAGTTCCAGCCTCACACCAGCCTCTTCCTCCTGGCCTCCAGTGCTGTGCAGCCCCACAGTCCTGACTCCTGCCCTTCACTCTCATCCTTCTTCTCTTTCCTCATGCTCAGAGACCAGGTTCTCCCAGCTGCCCGAGACGTGACCTGCCCCTTCTAGAAGGTCCCAAATTACCTTGTAGCTCTTCTTCCTGCAAATCAGCACCCAGTGCCAGTATGCGGCTTAAGACCAGATGTCAAGAAGCCACTTGTGAGGCAGAAAAGGCCCAGACCTGGCTGTAGTCCCGGCCATGGCTCTGTGGCCTTCTTCACTATGTGAAAGTGGGGAAAGTCCAGTGCCCAGTAGAGAAGCAACTCCCAGTGTGTCAGCTCAGCACAAAGGCCTCGAGCAAATGCGCCATCACACAGGGCCTTGTCAGTAACTCCAGGGCAAGCCAAAGAGGCCACTGACCTGCATGCTTCTCAAAGCTGGCACGTGGGCTATGTGACCAAATCAAGTAAAATTTTTCAAAAAGTACAGTGGAAGAGGTCTTAAGCAAAGGATGAACAGAATTTACATAGTATTTTGTGTAATGAGATTATACATACATAATTTGAAAAAGTTCTTCTCTAAAAAATAAGTCTTCTTTATACTGCTGCCCCACAGGCCAACTCCCCTCCACAGGCCCCTCTGTGCCTACGGTCTCCATCAGCTTGAACTTCTGTTGGTTGGATGAGTTTCAGGGATGACACTACATCTCGGGTAAGTTTTCCCATCTGAGTGACATCATTTCTGGGCCCACCATGCCACCCACCTGCAGATCCGCTTTCCACATATTACTGATGTCTAGTCCTTGGAGAATATGCCACATCAGCAGCCTAAAGTCCTCCATCGTTGCTGCCTCTAACATTGGAGTGAACAAGGATCTCAAATGAGGCTCAATATCCTGCATTACCTGAGCAGGAATTGCAGGATCTGTATAGAAAAGGAACCAAGACTGTTAAGATTTGAAAAACCACAGACAGGTGAAATACAGGGTAGCCAGAAGATGAAATCGTGTTCAGCCACACAACGCTGTACAGTTAGTCATGCTGTCAGGAGCATGGTGACACAGTCAGGTGGACAAAGCGGGGACACAGTGAGAGCCTGATGCCCTCTCTCACACACATGCTGTGTAGGGTAAGCCCACAAACACACCATGCTCGGGAGTAGCTAGGTGACTGTTACGTTAGGTAGCTGGCTCCTGATACCACAGATGTGGACTGCGTGGGTCCGTGGACTCCGCTGATCCAGGAACTTCTTCCACCTCTGCCACCCGGGACAGCAAGACCCCCTCCCCTCCCCCCTCAGCCTACTCAGCATGAAGAGGGGAGCAAGACCTTCATGAGGACCCACTCCCACGTAACGGACGCTAACTCATTTCCTCTGTGTAGGATTGCTTCAACATTTTTTGTCCTCTAGCTTGCTTTATTGTAAGAATACAGTATATGACACATACAATACACAAAATGTTCCTATCGATTACAAGTTATACATGAGATTTTGACTGTGCAGGAGTGTTAGCACCCTGACCCCCATGTTGGTCAAGGGTCAGCTTGAAGCTATTTTCCTTGTATTTCTTTTATAAAATCAGTAAAAGAGGTGCAGGAGGTGATATTTTTAAACAAACAGGAACATCAAAAATATCGAGAGAACCCTACATTTTAGGGAGCTGTCTTTTGAAGTCATCTTCCCAGCATCTCCAGTGTCCTCTGCCCCATGGTCTCATGATAAAACCCAAAGTCAGGGCACTCAAAGTCCCTCTGCCACCTGACCCAATTCATCTTTCTAGCAGTTCAGCCCTATCGTGATTACTCTACATTCCAGAATTCTTGCTGAAACTCCAGTCTTTGCTTACTCCTTACAGCACTGAGCAAGGAGACAAAAAGCTCTAAGAGACAAAGATCCAAGTCCAAGTCTCTGACAAGCCATAAGACCCTAGAACCATGACCTTGGGGCATACCAGCACCAACTCTGGTGGTCAGCAGATTAAAAAGGACACTGAGCTCACAGCAGCATGCCCCGGATGGAAGGTCCTGCCATCCGCCTTTTGAAGGCCACTCAAGCTTGGCCTGCACGTAGCCTTCCCCCCCCAGTCCCACGGTTCTGAGTCACCCCCTGCACTTCACTATCCTCTAGTGACTACAGTCTAGTCTGTGCTGTGTGAAAGTCTGTTTAGACAAGCCAGGTTCAACACCTCACTCATCTCCAGAGCAGGGTACAATTCCACACACACAGGAAGCAATTAAAAGTGCTGGTTTCCATAATCCATCCTACTGTCAAACAGCATTCTTTATAAAAGTTCCCTTTACAGCTGAAACTGCCTCTGAGCTGCCTGAGGACTCAGGAACTGCCAGGGGCTGCCCTCACAGTCTGCTCCCTGCCCACAGCCCTGGGCCACGCCTCCGCCAGCATTTCTTCCAGAACAGCCACCACTCTGACACTCCTGTGGAGAGTCCAAGAGCTCAGGTATGTGAGGCCCAGACACAGCAAGCTCCAGGCTGGTGGGCCGTGGGCAGTGTGGCAAGCTAGCCTTGCCTAGGCCTGAACTCACTGTGAGCAAGGTGCTCTGTCCCTGGGGTAAGTCCAGAACACACAATTAAGGCTGCAAGAGTGTCTCAACTTACTAGGGTTGGGGGAAAGGAGGAATAGAGTACTCTGGTTAGCACAAGGGCCAGGACCTTAGACCACCAGCCACCATTTCTTAGGAGGTTCCTTTAGAATGCTGTAATTAGTCTTAATAAAAGACTCAATTTTAGTCTTTGGGAAGGTGAACACCATATCCTAAGAAGAGTCACTGACAGAAGATGGAAGAACATAATTATCAAAGCCCTTTTAGTTAATCCAAAATCCAGTCAGAGACAGGGAGACCACGGAGCAGGAGGCCACAGCACACCATTCTTCTGCCCCAGCCTACACAGGCCAATTTAACCCTCATATGTCTGAGGCAAGCCTGTGGCCCCAGCCTGTCCCTGCTATTCCACTGGAGATCATATAACTCAGCATATACTCTGAGGGTCATGGTCACGTGTGCTTAACACCCCCGACCTCAAGTCAAGACTGTCCTAACCCCAACTCCTTCGTAACCACCAAAATGAAAAAGAAAAGACCCACTACAACTGTGGTGTAGCTGCCTTGAAACAGAAGAAATCTCATTTGCTAACCTTTTTTTTAATCCTTTCAGGGGAATAAAAGCATATTTTATTTTTATATATTAATAAGGGTAGCAAATTTTCATGATCTACTAAATATAGTTACTTCTTGAGGAAAATCACACCTAGAGCTAAATGGCCATCCAAAAATATTATCATCTATGCCCTACTTGTGACAAGTTTAATTAAATCATAGAAAAGTATTTTAATTATTACAACATAATATTAAAGTGGTATAAAATAAGAAAAGAGCAGCTGAGCATGGTGGCTCATGCCTGTAATCCCAGCACTCTGGGAGGCAGAGGCGGGTGGATCGTCTGAGCTCACAGGTTCAAGACCAGCCTGAGCAAGAGCGAGACTCCATCTCTAAAAACAGCCAGGCATTGTGGGGAGTGCCTGTAGTCCCAGCTACCTGGGAAGCTGAGGCAGGAGAATTACTTGAGCACAAGAGTTTAAGGTTGCTGTGAGCTACAACACCACAGCACTCTACCGAGGGCAAGAAAGTGAGACTCTGTCTCAAAAAAAAAAAAAATAGAAAAGAAAGAAAAGAGCAACAATCACAACATTTCAATGCAATGATAAATTTTTGCATGTGTTTCTAGCTTGTGTCTACAGGTATATGTAGTTGTAATTGTGGCATATTAAGTTGTATACTTATGTAGCATATATTATACTCTAAGTATAATATATAGTTGTATAATACAGTATAAGTACAATATAAGTTGTGTAACGTATACTTATATAGTATATATAAGTATAAAAAATTATACTCTATATATATACTATATATACTCTATATATATACTGCATGTGTTTCTAGCTCATGTCTACATGTATATATAATTGTAATCATGGCATATTTAGTTGTATAACATATGCTTGTATAATTATACTATAAGTATATATATAGTATACTATATAACATATATACTATATATACTTCTATAGTTGTAATCACGGCATATTTATAACATTTTATATAGTGAGTTTTTTGCTTAACATTACTATTTTTTAGATATTCCTCAACAGTTTTCATAACTATTATTTTGAAGGTAACCATTAACCTCTGCCCTAGTGAACTGCAGAGATCAACGCTCCATGCAAGAAGACTTGAGCTCGCCCTCTATCTGTGTTTGGCAAGGTGGCATCTGATTCTCTAATGACACACAGCAGGCCTGCACCTGGCACCCTGAGCCCTAGGGGGCTGGACTAAGACAGGTACAATCCTGTCCTCAGGGAATGGTAGGAGTCTCCTGAAAAATTAAGTCATTTCTACTTTTTTGAAATTGGCAGATTTTGCTTCTTGTTAAGGTCAATTTATGGCACTGACAGCCTGATGCAGAAGAACCTCCTGAACATGTGACTATTTATGTGACTCTTCCCTGGTCAGGACAAGCTACAGGCTAAGAAACACGAGGAGAACAGATTTCACAACTATAAACTTTTATATATATACACATATATATATAAATCTTCAAACTAAGTGAGCTACAGAGGTGCTGAGAGCCATCCTGGGAGGCGATCTGCATGAACAGCAGGGAGCAACTGTAAGGGTTACACGTGCCTGCACTGTAGCCAGTGGACGTGAAGTTGTGGGGCCAGGCCTAGGAGGGAAATGTTCCCCTGCTGCCATGAGGTACCTTTGGAACACGCCATGAGTTCATTTACTCACTGTTCCGATAATGGTGGAGGGCGGCAGCAACCTCCATAGCATAGAATTAGCTCAAGAGAAAATATCTTACCTGCAAGAACTTTTCCCACGGACTGAAACACGGAGATAAACACAGAATTTTTCTGGGGATGGAGTTCTGGGGCCAAAAAGAACAGCGTTAAGAACTGCAAGGCTGCCTGAAAAGACTGACCATGCCCTGCCAGAGCCGGCAACTGTGACAGCACCTGCACATACACCCCCTGGTAGAGAGCAGCACGGGAGGGAGGCATGTCGTCTGCCTCCTGGGAAATCTCGGCCCTTCCATCCGGGCAGTGCTGCTGGCTCAGGTCTGCTTCTAAGAGCACGCTGACAGCCGTGACAAGGTCCACGGGAAAGCGCTGGGCCTGGGTCCCTGGCGGGAAGCAGAGTTGCACCACAGCCCCTGTATGCTGCATGGCCCGCTGCAGCAACTCACACAGCACTGCGGGGGCCTCCTGGCTTGGCCTCGATTCTTTGACATAAGGTCCCAGCACTTGGCACAATTTGGTTAACGGCACCAGAAGGAGCTGCCTGCTCAGAGCTTTTTGATTTTCCAGCTGTTTGCCAGAAGCTACCTCAGTGTACAGTTTATAACTAGAGAGGCATGCGGTGATTTTTCTAAAATTGAGCACCACGCTCAGCTTCATTTGGACAAGCATCTGCATTAGCTCCTCTAGGAATGTCCCTATCACTTGGAGAAATTCCAGCCAAGAGGGGTCATCAGTCTCAGTAAGCAAACTACCACTGGCTTTGAACAATGAGGTCAGTACGATCTCAAAAATATCACTAGCATACACGATCCTGAACACCAGGCGGGCACTTCTTCCCCTTTGCAGGTGACCAAGAAGCCGGTAGCAAGTCATCAAGAACTTGAGGGCCAGTGGGGAGGGGCAGGAGTGCCCCAGTTTGCTAACAGCCATGGACAGAAACAGGAGAAAACAATGTACATGATGGGGCGGCAAGAGGCCGTCCAGCTGCAGAGTGGAAATAACTTCTAAAAGCCCCAAGATGCTTTCTACCTGTCCCTCCTCCAGCTGTATGGGGAAGTCACTTCTGACCAGACACAGTAAATTCTGTGCAATTTCTCCACTGGGTTCTACACCTTCAGGTCCAACTTTCACAAATCTGTTTTCCCCATGAGCCACAGCTGTATGGTCCTTTTCAAAAAGCCACGGAAGCTTTTGACTGAGAAGACCCTGGTCATTTGGGGCCCCAGAACACAGAACACTAGAACATCTGCCAGTCATGCACATTAAGAAAGCAGAGTGAAGGGGCTGCATCTCCACAAACAGGGGGCTGTGCAGAACAGCCCTGGATACATTTCCCAGCGTGACACCCAGCTCTTCACCTACTGAGCCTTCCTGAGCTTTGCTCATAGGTAAAGTTCTCAGCAGGACGCCTGCCAGGTATCTCACATCATCCGGACAAAGATAGGAAACCAAAATTGTGAGATTCGACACAATTAAGTGCCAGTGTGCCACAGGGTAGGTGGATGCATTCACTGTCCCTACATGGCCATCCCAGAAAGCCGTCACTCTTTGATTCAAGCTTTCTCTGCCAGAACCAATAATACAGGCAGCGTCACACCTCACAGTCTGAAGGGCTTCTTCAGATAGGAAACCGGTTTGCATTAAAGTCTTTTTAATTTTTTGAAGATAGAGCTGTTCTAAGCAATACCTGCCAAGAGAGTTGAACTGAGCTATACACATCTCTATCTTCTTCCAATGCCGTGCTTCAACACCTGGGAGCAATGAAGGGAAGCTGGAGTCCTCCGGAGCAACACCAGCCCAAGACCCACACACAGAGTGGTACTGGCTGCAATTCAGACTGAACATGGTGTCCACTTGGACCCAGGTGTGAGACAGCAGGAGTGCAGAGTCACTGACCTTCTGCAGACACAGCTCAGCCTCTGGGCCCAGGGGGTCCAGGAGAAGAGCCAGCAGGGGCTGCACTAGCTCTCTCAGCATCCTCTCCATTATACACTGTGTCCGTCTGATGAAAGGCAGGGGGGTGCTGCTGTCCAGGCTCATCATGTTGAACATGATGCAGTGCAGCAGCGAGCTCAGGGACACCAACTTCAGGGCCATGTCAGCATCACTCCACAAATAGGGCAAGACTGAAGACTGGATCTTCTCCAGCACGAGGGACCACGTATCCAGGATCTGGCTCAGAGGCAGCTCCAGGAGGCAGGCACTGAGCACTGTGGAGGGGCCTGAGGCCAGCACAGGCTGCCTCATCACCTCTGCAGCTGGACGGCAGATCACCCCCAGAACCTCCTCGAATAACCGTGGCACTTGCCGTAGCTTGGCATATGTCTGGAAGAGAGTGTGAATAAGTGCCTCCTGGGCTTTTTTGGTTCGAAAATCTGTTACTTCTGCATCAATCCAAGCTGAAGCCAGAAGGTCATCCAGGTATGGCTCCAAAATCAAGTGATTCAGATTTATCAAAATTTTGAGGCAGCGGAACCAGGCCGGGACAGGTGCTTGTGAATGGTTTATCAGCAGCTCAGCCAGACGGCGGTAAAAGCGGAACTGGGCCTCTCCATGCCGGATCCTGTCGGCAGCAATGTTATAGATGCTGCTGCTGGCCACTGCACTGAGCAGCTGCTCCACAGCCAAGAGCTCTGTGGTCCAGTCTGAAGCAGACAGGGCTTCTACCTGCTCCTCCTGCAGCCGAGAAATCCTCAAGCATCCAAACAGCCTGGGCAGAGCCTGGAAGCAGAGAAGCTGGTTTCCTTCCTTGGAGTAAGAATCTATAAAGAGCTTATACAACAAGGCCACTGAGTTCGCCACAACAGTCGCATGAAGGGATGGTGCACAATAGCCAGCACTGACCAGCTTGGCGATCATGGTGTCCATGGGGGCTAGAAGGTTCTTCATGGCTCCCATCCTCGTGTCCTCTTGCTGCTGGTCCAAGAGCTCCTCTTTGTAAGATGACAGCAGCTCGGGCCGAAAAATTCCACCCCGGAGCATGGTCTCCAACTGATTCTTAATGTCCCGGCTCAGCCCCTGCCGCAGCTGGGCCTGGCCAGCCTGCGTCCAGGTACCCCCAGAGAGTAAATTCCTCAAGACTAAGCAGGGCTGGAAAAGATGCCCAGTCACATCTCCAAAGGCACGTCTTGGGTTGACCTGCTGCTGCTGGATCAAGAGGTAATGGCCAAGAGCCAGGTGAATGACCTCTAACAGCTGAGCTGCTGGGGCTCCTTCCAGCTGTCGACATGCCGACCAGCAAAGCTGGCTCAGCAAGGCCACCAGCAGCTCCTGTTTGGCCGTGTAGATGACAGCAAGGGCAGGCACTGAGAGGATGCCCTGGCAGCAGCTCAGGACAGCACAGATGTTCCTTTGGGATCCCGAATGAGAGAACTCAGTTACTCTCTCATTTATGATCTGAGCATTAAGAAAGAAAGCAAACTCATTACTGGTCCTAAATCCATGCATACACCAAAACTGTTCCCGGGAACCAATAAACTGACCCCTTACCCTTATTTTGGTAAGAAACAAATGTCCAGATTATACATCTCACTGAACTCGACATTTGCTTAATGCACTAAAACAAGGCAAAGTGCTTGCTTTACAATTTCCTCACACATCTATTTCCTACTAATACAAATCTGGAAAAGAACCTGGGCCTTTGTCCATTTGCTGTCCCTTTCTAAAAAGCTGGGTTTTGTAAAGCTTAATGCCAAAGATTACTTCCTCTTTGATCTTAAACCTATAATTCAGCTTAGATGTTACCAGATAGATAGACGGGGGCACTTTGGGTTATGATCCTATGGTCCAAAATATATGTTTAAGGTTAACTGTACTTCTCTGTTAAAAAAGCCAAAGCAAATGGGCACTCTTAAAAAAGGAAAGCTAACGTTGCCAGTTACTACTTACACAGCAAACCCATTGTCTACTGGTCTCAAAATTCCAAAACTCACAAACATCAGAAGTTAAGAGAGCCAGGCAGATTCTGAAGTTCACCCACCGGCTATATGATTTGCTCCCAGACTTAGGAAATCTGAGAATCAAACTGATCCTAGGTGCTAAGTTATTAGGAATCCAACAAGATAGGTATTATTATTTTTATTCACATAACAGCCAGGCAAGGACCTTAGAATCCTTATGGAAAAGCTGTTAACAAAAATATCAAAATCTTTAAATGCCAATGCATTCTAAATTTTTGATTATACAAAAATCAGTAAAAATCATTTCCACCTTTACATCCAATCAGTATATTTCTAAACTGTATATATGTGCTATATACTCAGTACTATTTTATATAATTATAAAGCATACATAAAAATTTAAAAAGTGTATTTCTTTTAATCTTAGACACATTCTAAGATTTTCTTCCTATACCCCAAAGGACCACTGAGAATAACCCTCTTTGGTGACCATCAATCTATTTATATTTTTTCTCTTTTTTTGAGATAGAGTCTCACTGTGTCACCCTTGATAGAGTACTGCGGCATCACAGCTCACAGCAACCTCAGACGCTTAAGTGATTCTCTTGCCTCAGCCTCCCAAGTAGCTGGGACTACAGGTGCCCACCACAACACTCGGCTAGTTTTTTGTTGTAGTTGTCATTGTTGTTTAGCAGGCCTGGGCTGGTTTCGAACCCGCCAGCCTTGGTGTATGTGGCCGGCACCCTAACCACTGAGTGACGGTCGCCAAGCCCATCAGTCTATTATTTTAACAGTGACACAGTTTGGAACATAATTTCAAGAATCAGCTGGGCCTGGACCACAAAACCATCAGTCAGTTCAACTATTTCATTCTCTGTTACAATCCTCTACCAATTTCCCAGCCTGCACACTCACGTGGGTAAGGTTTCACAGCATAAGCTTTGCCTTCAGGGAGACCTGGGTTCAAATTCCAGCTGTGCCACTTATTGACCACATTACTTTAGGAAAGTTCCTTAACCTCTTTGAACACTAACACACTAAGTACTAGTAGTTTTTATTATAACTAGTAAAACTCTTAATATTTTAACAGACTTAATTTTGACAATGAAGTTCATTCAATATACTTCAAAACCTGAGACTTCAAAATCAGTTTCAGTCAAAAACCTTTGAGGAAAGTTTCACCCAGATTTTAGCCTTTGATCTCCCTTCAGGCAAAAGAAAGGTGAAGGGAAAAAAAAACTCAGGGTACATAATTTGCTGGCTACCTTTTCCAATTAAGAAGGTAATCAGGCTTGGCGCCTGTGGCTCAAGCGGCTAAGGCACCAGCCACATACACCTAAGAAGGCGGGTTCGAAGCCCTAGCCCGGGCCCGCCAAACAACAATGATGGCTGCAACCAAAAAATGGCCGGGCGTTGTGGCGGGTGCCTGTAGTCCCAGCTACTTGGGAGGTGGAGGCAGGAGACTCGCTTGAGCCCAGGAGTTGGAGGTTGCTGTGAGCGTGATGCCATGGCACTCTACCCAGGGGGATAGCTTGAGGCTCTGTCTCAAAAAAAAAAAGAAGGAAATCAAAAACCTGTTCATGAAAGAGTTCTAGCTTTTCTTGAGTATTACATTATCAAAGTGCAGGCTTGGCACCTGTGGCTCAAGTGGCTAAGGCGCCAGCCACATACACCTAAGGTGGTGGGTTCGAATCCAGCCCGGGCCTGCCAAAACAACTATGACGGCTGCAACCAAAAAATAGCTGGGCACTGTGGCAGGTGCCTGTGGTCCCAGCTACTTGGGAGGCTGAGAAGCAGGAGACTCCCCTGAGCCCAGGAGTTGGAGGTTGCTGTGAGCTGTGATGCCACAGCACTCTACCCAGGGGGGCAGCTTGAGGCTCTGTCTCAAAAAAAAAAAAAAAATTATAAAAGTGCTTAACAGAGTATAAAATCTGTACTCAATAAATGTTTTTATTTTTAATATTATTATTTCCCTCTCTTCTACCTAAACATCTCCTACACATTCATATAATTGATCCTCTAACAAATAAGACTCTAGCATTACAGGAAATCAACAGACATGAAAGTAACACTGACAGGACAACAAGAGAGACAGGTTACCTTGACCAGGGAAATCTGCAAGTTAACTGTCTTTCCATTCCTGAGGAGATTCTGCAATTTCCTGCTATGTAAAATGCTGTCTATATAGATCCAAAGCCTTTCAACAATATCTTCCTTCAGTTCAAGTTTTTTCTTATAAAATGCAACCAAGGACTGTCTTGCCCAATCAAGCAATACCTGAATTTGGAGGAAACAAACACTGAAAATAAATAAATTTCTTTGCCAAGAGAGAAAGATGCTAGACTTTACCCAAATCCAATTACCAGGAGGGAAAAAACAAAACTTTCCTTCAAAACTTACCTTTGGTAATATTATATAGCATATATGTTTTGGTATCACAAAATGTTTATTATAAAGAATAAAAGGGGGAGAGCAACTACATATTATCTTCATCCAGGAAAAATAAAAAGTTTCTAGTGAGATTCACACATGACTTACCAACTTATCTGAAGTTCTGCAGACACCCCCCCTTTTACTGTGCTTTGTAGATATCACCTGTATCACGAGTTGGAACGCTAGAGGGAGCCCTGCATCAGACAAATCTATCAGTGCCATTTTCCCAACAGCACGTGCTCACTTTGTTTCTGTATCACATCTGATAATTTGCAGAATGCTTCAGATTTTTCATTATTATTATGTTATGGTGATTTGTGATCAGTGATATTAGAGGTTTCTACAAGTGTTCTGGGTTACCACAAAACTCTGTCCTTACAAGGCAGCGACCCTAACTGAGCAACGTGGCATGTGCTGACTGCTCCACCGATGGGTTATTCTCCCACCTCTCCCCCATCTTCTAGCCTCTCTTATTCCCTGAGATACAGCAATGAGGCCAGTGAATAATTCTACAATGGCCTCCAAGTATCAAGTTAAAGGAAGAGTCACATAACGCTCAATTTAAATTACAAGCTAGAGATGACTATTAAGCTTAGCAAGGAAGGCATGATGAAAGGTGAGGCAGGCACACGGAGACTGCTAAACAATTAGCCAAGTTCTGGATGCAAAGGAAAACTTCTTGAAGAAAACTAAAAGTGCTTCTCTGGTGAACCCATGAATGACAAGAAAGGGAAGCAGCCTGTTGCTGCGATGAACACAATGTGAATGGTGTGGACGGAAGATCAAAACAGCAACAACATTCCCTCAGGCCGAAGCCTAATCCAGAGCAAGGCCCTGACTCTCTTCAGTTCTCTCAAGGATGAGAGAGAGGAAGCTGCAGAAGAAAGTTGGAATCTATCTGAGGTCAGTGCAGGAGGTTTAAGGTGTAACATCAAAGCACAGGGGAAGCAGCACGTGCTGATGGAGAAGATCAGTAAGATCAATGATGAAGGTGACAGCACTCAACAATAGACGTTCAGTGTAGATCAGTGGTTCTCAACCTTCCTAACGCCGTATTTTCATTGTTACAAAGGGGTTGTGACCCACTGGTTGAGAACCCTTGATGTAGATGAAAGAAAATTCTACTAGAAGATGATGCCATCTAGGACTTTCACAACTCACTAGCTAGTTTCAATGCTTCAAAGGACAGGCTGACTCTCCTGTTAGGGACCAAGGCTGCTGGTGACCTGAAGTTGAAGCTGATTCTCATTTACCATTCTGAAAATTCTAGACATTTTCCTAGGGATTTTAAGAATGATGCTGAATCTTCCCTGGCTGTTCTCCATAAATAGAACAACAAAGCCTGGATGATAGCACATCTGTTTGCACAATGGTTTACCAAATATTTCAAGACCATTATTGAAACCTACTGCTCAAAAAAAAAACAACTACCTTTCAAAATACAACTACTCACTGAAACACAAATGGTCATCCAGGAAATCCTGATGGGAGGTAAAAGGACATGAATACTATTTTCAAGACTGCTAACACAACATCCATTTTGCAGCCATAGACCAAGGAGTATTTCTGACTTTTTTTTTTCTGTTGTCTAGGCTAGAGTGCCATAGCATCAGCCTAGCTCAAAGCAACTTCAAACTCCTGGGTTTAAGAGATCCTCCTGCCTTCAACCTCCAAAGTAGCTGCAACTATAGGTGCCTGCCGTGATACCCAGCTAATTTTTCTATTTTTTAGTAGAGATGGGATCTTGAACTCCTGAGCTCAGGCAAACTTCATGCTGTGGCCTCCCAGAATAGTAGGATTACAGGTGTGAGCCACCACACCTGGACTGATTTTCAAGTCGTATTACTTAAGAAAATACATTCCATAAGGTTATAGCTGGCAGACATAGTGATTCCTGTGATGAATCCAGGCAAATGAAACTCTTCTGAGAAGAATTCACCTTTATAGATGCCATTAGGAGCCTTGGTGATGAAGCATGAGAGGAAGCCAAAATATCAACATTAACAGAAATTTGGAAGGACCAGGACCTGACTCCAATGCTCTTGGATGACTTTGAGATGGTCAGGGCTTCAGTGCAGGAAGTAACTTTAGATGGGGTGGAAACAGCAAGATTAGACTTAGAAGAGGAGCCTGAAGACCTGACTGAATTGTTTATCTCATGATAAAATGGGAATGATGAGAAGTTGCTTCTTAAGGATGAGCAAAGAAAGTAGTTTCTTGAGACAGAATCTATTCCAGGTGAAGATGCCGTGAATACTGAAATGACAACAAATATTTTAGAATATTATGTAAACATAAAAACTGATAAAGCAGTGGCAGATTTTGAGAAGACTGACTCCAATTTTGAAGGAAGTTCTACTGTGGGTAAAATGCTACCAAACACCATTATAAGTCACAGAGAAATTTCTTGAGAAAGGAAGAGTCAGTAGATGTGAAAAACCTCATTGCCTTATTTTAAGGAACTGCCACAGCTACCCCAACCTTTGGCAACCACCCCTGATCAGTCAACAGCCATCAACATGGAGGTAGGACCTCCCCCCACCAGCTGAATCTTACATTCAGCTAATTAAAAAAAGACCTTCCATAAGCAAAAAAATTTCAGTCACTGAAGGCTCAGATGATCATTAGTACTTTTTAGCAATAAAGTATTTTTACTTAATGTTATGCTCATTTTTTTTAGACATAATGCTATTGTATACTTACTAGACTACATAACTTTTATATGCCCTGAGACCAAAAAATTTGTGTAACTTGCTTTAAATTGCAATATTCACTTCACTGCAGTGAACTAGAACCAAACCTGCAATATCTCTGAGGTATGCCAGCACTAAGTACAACTGCTCAGAATTATCATAGAATGAATCATACAAACAGAAAAGAAATAAAAGGACCAGCAAACGTTAAAGGACTAAGGACTAACCTAGCTTCCCTGTTACCTGCGAGCTAACCTTTGAAACTATTAGACAGTCAAAACGAAATAATGCACAAATACTTTACAAAAAAGAGGATTACACACATATAGTTTCCATAGTGTATCATGTTTTCTCATTCACACTGAGGAAAGGTGGTCAGGCCACAGTCCACAATACCAGAGCTGTTAATAGCAGTAGGAACAGTGAGAGACACCAGAAGGAAAAAGCCTCTCAGGACCAGGATGGAAACAATGGCCAAATTGCCTGCCAGGACCTCCCCTGTTTCCCCGTGGGCAGCATTTGCCAGGCTGACCATCAGCCTTTCAAGATGACTCTCATGGGCAGTCAAGTGTAGAGACTACAGGACATGCTTCTTGCTTCTCGATACATACTGTGCTATATTAACATCAATGACTGGTTGTACGTTAATTCAATTTCATGAGTTTCTCATCCTCATGTTTATCATGTTAACTATTTTTTAGCCAAAAAAAGTTTAAGAAATATTAACACAGGTGGCGCCTGTGGCTCAGTGGGTAAGGCGCTGGCCCCATACACCAAAGGTGCCAGGTTTGAACCCGGCCTCAGCCAAACTGCAACAAAAAAAATAGCCAGGCATTGTGGTGGGCATCTGTAGTTCTAGCTACTCGGGAGGCTGAGGCAAGAGATCGCCTAAGCCCAAGTGTTGGAGATTGCTGTGAGCTGTGACACCACAGCACTCTACCAAGGGCAACATAGTAAGACTCTGTCTCTAAAAAGAAAAGAAATATTAACACTATCTTTCTTGGTACCGACCTTACTTCTATAATGGCTTTATTAAAATACTAATACTCTTCTACTTCCGACCTTCCATTTATCAAATCCTGGATATTTTTATCAAACCAGTATCAAGCAGCTGCTTACAGAACATCACTTAACATTTATAAACTGAACTACCAACAGACTTTCAGAACCTAACTTGTATAACTTAATTCACTAATGCATATATTTAAAGCATGATACAATGCTTCCAAACAAAATAAATGCTAAATGAAATTTTGTAACAGAAAAACTTTGTTAATGAATTACCTGACCTGATACTTTTTTTGCAGATATTACTTTTAACTTTCTTTTTTTTTTTTTTTTTTGAGACGGAGCCTCAAGCTATCCCCCTGGGTAGAGTGCTGTGGCATCACGCTCACAGCAACCTCCAACTCCTGGGCTCAAGCGAGTCTCTTGCCTCAGCCTCCCAAGTAGCTGGGACCACAGGCGCCCGCCACAACGCCTGGCCATTTTTTGGTTGCAGCCATCATTGTTGTTTGGCGGGCCCGGGCTGGGGATTCGAACCCGCCACCTTAGGTGTATGCGGCTGGCGCCTTAGCCGCTTGAGCCACAGGCGCCGAGCCACTTTTAACTTTCAAAGAAATTTTCTCCCCAATTTTTAATCTTTTTTTTTTTAACTAAATGTCAACATGTGCAATTCATGTGCAAGAAGTAAAAATTATTATGATAAGACTGTAAAAACATAAACTTACCTGTTCTTTATTTGGAAGAAAGCACTGGTGGGAAATCCATGCAAAATGAGCTAGTTTTAGTTTATCTTCCCAGGAAGTTGTCTTGCTCTTAAGCTTAAAGGAAATGCCAGAATAAACAGCAGCCATTGCTACAGTTTACCTACAATTAACAACAATGGGAAAAAAAAAAATATATATATATATAGAGAGAGAGAGAGAGAGAGTAAAGTCAAATTGAATAGACAACAGAAAGTGAACAGTGTATGTATCTTATCTACAAAACAGATCTTATCTTATCTACAGGGTGGCAATTTAAAATTGCACATGAACTTTATGGCCACCCTGTACATTATTTCAGACAAAAGTAGGCAGAAAATGGATTGCAGGCACAGAAGGTGGATTACAAGTATTCCAGTTATAATCAAACATCACACCCATAAAGGTGAATGGGCAGGACTTCAACAAGGCATAAATAAAAGTATTCATATTACTTGTGGAAAGAGTAATTCTTACACGGTTTTAGAATGAAAGGAAAATTTGTACACATATCTTCTAGCAATTATTATGTATTAGGACCAGCTCTATTAGATAATTCAAAAAGATAAATGACCAATTTTTGGAGAAAGCAATATTTCTGCAAATGAAAAAGATATGCAATATTAACCTAATCCCCAAAGAAATACTGTTACTTCAGCCGCATCAGCAACTTCCACTAAACCTTAATCTATTCATTCCTGTACCAATTTACAGGACAAACACCTTCCAAGACTCTACAAAAAGATATTTGCACAATTTAAAGACTATAAAAGTAGAATACAATAAAACCATAAACACCAAATATACCAACCATTCACGGTTACCATAAAACTGGGTAAACTTAGCTTCAGAGGTGTTTAAACAAGTCAGTTCCTCATGAAAGAGAAAAACTTACTGATACTTAACACAAACAAATTAGAACAACACTGGTACTATGGATCCCCTGCACTTTTTCGAAATCTTAAAACCCTATTTTCTGAATTTATTCTCAGTAAATAACTACATAACTAAAGACTGAACACTGGATAAAGTATCCTTCGCTCCATTACAGAGAACAGGAACAGTCAAGCGCTATCAGTTTCCTGTTATGTCAAAATATCCAAGACCAGCTGAACAACTACTTAACTTCGAAGTTCATTGCCACGGCTACAAAGCGCGTACCATGTGTTTGCTGAATCGGCTACAGCGACGCAGGAGATGCTCCTAGACCTTGGAGCTCTGCGATCCAGGACCCGCCAACACTCACGCGGCCACCACCAGCGCGAGGCGAACCTCGGGACCCCGCGCGGCCCGGGGGTCTCATCTAGGGGATCGTCGCAGGTGGAAAGAATGACCCAGGGTCACACCGCGGGTGTGGGGTCATCTCGGGGCCCACGGGAGGGCTCACCTCGAGACCCATGGGGGAGGAGGACTCACCTGGCGACCTGCTGCGGGTGGAGGCACGACTCATCTCGGGGCACACCGCAGGTAGGGAGCTCACCTCGCGACCCAACCCAGGCGGAGACTGAGGACGGCAGCAGCGGCGCAGCCCGGAGACCCCCCCACGTGGGCCCCGCCGCGAGCTCCTTCCGCCCGACGCCAGCGGCGCAGCGGGGCGGGGCCGCACGCTCGCCAGGCATCGCCAGCCGAGCGCCGAGGCGCCTCGCCCATTGGCGGAGACCGTTGCGCGTTGAGACCGAGCCCAGCCCGCCGCCCGCTCGGTGTCAGTCAGTCATGGAGCTGCAGCCCAGGGCCGCAGCGGGGGCGGCGGGGCGCGGGGCGCGGAGGCCCAGCTGAGGCGGCCGTGGGAGCGAGACCCTACAGCAGAGACGACGGAGGCGGAAGCAGTCCGGAGGCGGCGGCAGCGGCGGCAGCGGCGGCTGGGGAAACCGGAGCCGTCTGGGATGTTCAGTGAGTGCGGGGCACGCGGGCGAGGGCCGGGGGCGCCAGCCGAGCCCGGGCGGCCGGCGGCGGGGGCGGGGGAGGCCCGGCCGGGTGCGCCGTGGCTCCCGCCGGCGGGCGGTGGGGGGGGGGCTCATGGAGGCGGGGCGAGGGGGCGGGGGCGCGGTGAGCGGGCGCGGCGGCCTCCGAGTCCCGGAGGCGGCGTGGCCTGCGCTCGGCAGCCGCACCTGGGCCAGCTCTGTGTCCCTGCTCTGGCCGGGTCCTGGCTGGCGGAGGAGGTGGCGGCATCTGCGGGGAAGGGGTCCCGAGCGCGCCCTCCACGTTTCCCTCTCATTTAAAGGAAGCGGAAGGTCTTTGGGGCGAATTCGGGATTAAACTTGGCACATGGTCGTGCGTGGGTGGGTGTGGAGTCGACCTCTGCCTGTGACACTGCGGGCAGGAGGGGCGAGCCTGCGGAGGATGCCGACCCGCAGGGGCACTTCCTAGGATCCCTGCCGAGTGACAGCGGCGGAGGCGCGGGGCCCTCCGGGTCCCCGGCCCTGCTCGCCGAGCTCCTCTGCTCTTGACAGTGTGTCAGGTAAGGCTCTGGTCCGGAACTAGTGGATGGTTAGAAGCAGTGGTGTCATTTTAGACCTAGCGGAAGTGGAGTACGGGGACGCTACGTGCAGGTTCCCCATCAGTGGTGGAGGTCGTTACAACGCGGACCTCGCAGTCTGTATGGTTCTAGGATCACAAGGTAATGCCAGTTCCACGCGGCGTCGGTCTTAAATTACTATACCTGAACTCTGACCTTGCAAATTGAAGTCTCGGAGTGGTGACCCCACTGACAAGCAGTTGGGAGCTGTTAGGAGAGGAACTGTGAGGGCAGAGGTCGTCTCCTGGTAGGTGACACAGAGTATCCCATGAGGGATAGTGCTACTACGGAGCTGGGGGGGTGGGGGAGCACACGGTGGCGATTGCCTAGTCTTTGTCACAGCCCTACTTAGAAAGTGAGAGTAGGAAAGGAAGTGTGTGCTTAACAAGTTAAATGCATCTGGCTACGTTTTAAAACTAAGAGGCACGTAATATAACCCATAGAGCTTGGTGACAGTGTAGATCTGGAATTGAAACATGTAGCTACCTGTGTTTGTTACCTCTCTAAGCCTTAGTTTCTTTATCTATAAAATAGGATGATGACTGATAACGTAAAGGTGAATCTTTTTAAAGGTACCTAGAAAGGAAATGGTGTATATGAAAATGCCAGACATAATTTCTTTTTTTTTTTTTGAGACAAAGCCTCAGGCCATCCCCCTGGGTAGAGTGCCGTGGCATCACAGCTCACAGCAACCTCCAATGCCTGGGCTCAAGCGAGTCTCCTGCCTCAGCCTCTCAAGTAGCTGGGACTACAGGCACCCGCCACAACGCCTGGCTATTTTTTGGTTGCAGCCGTCATTGTTGTTTGGCGGGCCTGGGCTCTGGATTCAAACCTGCCACCTTAGGTGTATGTGGCTGGTGCCTTAGCCGCTTGAGCTACAGGCACTGAGCCCAGACATAATTTCTTTTTGGTAAAATGCCTCGTAGGTTCCTTGTAGGCCTTAGTTTTTTGTGTTAATTGTAATAGATGCTAACTTTGAATTTCTTCATGAGTTAAATCGTGTCTGTCTTAAAAATCCATGTTAAACTCGAAAACTGTAGAAAACCGCCAGGTGTTCTTGCCTCGAGTGCTTTTCTTTATCATTAGTAATGAATCGGATTCATGTATCTTGTCGCTCCCGCCTTTAAGTGGGAAGTTTGTGTGTGCTTCTGTTGCTGTGAAGCTGGATAAAGTTTTCGTGCTACTGCTCAGTAACTTGCTTTTCTTGCAAACAATATGTTAGCCCCTATGAAGGACCTCTCTGGGGAGAGAGGGGATTTTGATTTTGCTGATTTGTTTTAGCTGGAAAGGGACCCTAGGGATCATCTATTAAACCAGTGGACAGGACTAGAAGTCAAGTTTCCAGCCTTCTTGCCATGTAACCAGTGGCTTCTTAGATAGTAACTATTCTGATAATCCTCTCAGCAAACACCTGCTGAGTGTTCACTGTGCCCCGCCTCCATGGAGCCCCGGTCAAATGTAGAGTCCTGTGAGCAGCAAGGAACAGCCAAAGGTAAGTGCTCAGACCCTTCAGCCCAGTGGTCTGAGTCCCCTTCCTGACATTACATTACTCTGGACAGATTAGGAGACGTCTTTGAGGCTCAGCTTTCCCATCTGAAGAATGTTCCCTACCTCATGGAGGAGTTGTGAGGTTAAAGAAGATAATCTGTGTAAAGCACTTAAGATAGCATCTTACAGTGGTGTGTACTTGGTATTAGGTGTTACTGATGGTCATGTAGGACAGAGACAGTAGTGGGATGAGTACTGTGTTTGAGGTTGTTGCTGGGTCTGGTGGGTGGAGGGAACTGTAATCAAGGAAGCTCTCTGGAGGAGGAGGTGCCTAAGCGGTGCTGTGAAGCTTGGCTAAGACAGCCACAGCAGCTGGTGTGCCATGTGGGGTGAATGCTCCTGAAGTGGGAAGGTGGAGTGAGGAGAACCAAGAATCGGTCCTGTTATGTGAACAAAGGCGGGTCAGAGTAACCTGGAAATGACACAGTATCCTCCACACTAGTGAAGTTAATACAAAACCTTTTACACAAAGCACAGACAACATCAGATTAGCTTTCTGTAAAGATCGTGCCTGCGATAGTGTGATACTGGATGGAAAGTAGGGAAGGGCCATCTACTTGTCTTCGCAGCTTTGTATCTGCTTATGACTCCAAAGGAAAATGACAGTTTAGCAGAATTAGGCATTTTAATCCAAATCTGAAAACTTAGGGAATACTTACAGAAGACATTAAGGAAACAGATCATTCCAAATCAACTAAACAAACAACAACAACAACAAAAAAAAAAAAAAAAAAACAAGAAAGATTCAGTCATTATTCTTGGGGATGGTGTTTGATGTCTTACAAAGTACAGATGTCATATGCCATTAGAAACAGATCTGGCTCGGGGCCCGTGGCTCAAATGGCT